CCAACTCCCCCTTTCCCCTTTCTCCCCAAGACAGCAACCCCCCATTCTCCCCTCTCCCCACGGGAGCAAGTCCCCCATTCTCTTTTCTCCCCAAGACAGCAAGTCCCCATCCTCCCCTCTCCCCATAGGAGCAAGACCCCAGTTCTCCCCTCTCCCCACGGGAGCAAGTCCCCCATTCTCCCCAATTTAGTGTCCCCATCAAAGACTCCCAAGACAGGGACAGCACAGGGTTAGATACAGAGTAAAACTCACTCTAATTTCCGCTGTGGTAAATCTAACCCTACCCTCCCTGCAGGTGAACAGACCTCTGACCATGAAGAAGGACGGCATCCAGACCCGCAACCGGAAGGTCTCAAACAAGTCGAAGAGGATGAAGAAATCCCAGGAGCACTTCAGCGAGCTGCCTAAGGATGTGGGGGACGAGGGTTCACCTTTCCCTTTGGGATCGGCCGCCTTCCAGAGCCACCTGACCTCTGTCAGTCATATGGTGCCCTACAGCCATGCCCCCCACCTGCTGACCAACCCCCTGCATCCTCAACCGAGCCTGAGCTACAACCATCACCCCTCAACCAGCATCGTGTCAGCGCTCAGCTAGGCAGGCTCCTTCCCACCCTGCCAGAGACACTGTCTCACACCGATGGATGACAGATACACCAAACCCCCTCACCATCTCCATGCAGGGGCTGAACCCTTGCAAACTCTTAACTATGTGACATGCGCATGCTCCCAGCAAAGGGGCAACAGATTCACACTTCAACGGACCGCACAGATTTTCTCCCTAAGAAGTTAACCTGTCCTGGCTCTGATCTGGATTCCTGGCCAAAGCCAGACTCACATATAGTGCTTTCTTTCACAAATATATATATATATATATATATATTATATTTCAATAATCCCAAATTTACACATCAACTCGTGACTTTGTTTCGTCTAACGCTTGCTCAACTGACCGAGTTAAAGAGGAAAAGCAGAGAATGAAGCATCCATGAGAGGAGGAGAATGTTATCTTTATCAAACCCTTGTGAAATTTCTTGACGCCACCAACTTGGTCACTGTGTAGCCACCACTTTCTGGTGCGTCTTCTTTTCTGCTCTGTTTGTAATGTAGTCCTCAGTTGGGACTACCCCCCCCGAGCAACGTCTCAACCAATCAAGAGTCGACATGTCATGAATTTGTGCCCTTTGACTTCATGTGTAATAAATTGGAGCCCCCCGTTATGAAATTTGGCATTCTTGCGTGTGTTCTGACATTGAGACATATTGCCAGGGTCTCTCGATGTTTTCCCAGCAATATCCCGTTCCAGATGAAAACAGACACCAGGCCTTTTGAGAACTGCATTCAGAAGAAGCTTTCACTGACGTGGCCTTGGGATTTCACTCTGTGCCTTTTGTTTGGAAACCTCCTCCCACTACACCTCTCCCTATCTGTGTAACCGCCACCAGCCGCTACACCTCTCCCTATCTCTGTAACCTCCTCCAGCCCCTACACCCTCTCCCTATCTCTGTCACCTCCACCAGCCCCTACTACACCTCTCCCTATCTCTGTAACCTCCTCCAGCCCCTACACCCCCTCCCTGGCTCTGTCACCTCCTTCGGCCCCCCTACACTCCCTCCCTGTCTCTGTCACCTCCTCCAGCCCCTACACC